CAAAAATTAAAATTTTGATAAGGGTTAATCTACGTCCTTTCGATTAAATTAAATTGTTCAAATATTAATGACTTTGTTATTAATTTCTTAATATTTTAATAATTTACTAATAAATAACCCATACTTCACTTTGGAAAACGAAAAAAAGTAATTGTATATACATATTGGAGTTCCTTTTTGAGTGTTCCTTGGTGCCTAATACTATATAGTGCTCAGATTCCCGATCGAACGACAGTATTAAATAGTAAATATGATATTATAATAAAATAATTACACCAAAAATTTGTTTAATGACATTCACTTTACATATAAAAAAATTTCAAAACCAACTTTGTGTATGATTCTAGCAATCGATCGAAAGTTGTATTATCTATTTTTAATTTCCTATGAACTATGCATATATAAATAATTTAGTTCCTTAAAGATGTACTTTCCCTTAAAAACTATAAATAATTAACCTGTCATTACTTATTGAAAATGTATTACTTATCATTTTGTATATGAAAGCAGACACTTTAAATAAATTTATATATATACATAATACTTATATTATCAATAAACTGAATTTTGTTCAAATTATTAAAACGAAACGTCTCCTTTTATTTCACCGGAAATATTAGTGCGATCCATGAGACGACGCAATATGACATTTTTTTTTTGAGGGGAGTGCATGTACATATATACATACATATGTGTGTAACTTTTCGCAGTCTGCTATTTATGTACATATCGCAAACCTAGATCTAAAGTGCGATCAACTAAAAAAAAGTTTGGGGATTGGCATAAATCAAATCATAGGACTTACATCCAATTAATGGAGATATTTTCTTCTTCATGATTATATACATTAACTAAAAAAATAACGGTTATACCTGTTTTTGTATTAACTGCATTGAATCTGTGCGATCCACGCGCAGTTAAATTTGCCTCTTTGAATTTTTTAGTTAGCTCACTTTAGATCTAGAGGTGTGATATGTTCACCTTTTTTGTGTCAAGCAAATTAAAAAGAAATGCGATTCTGTGTTTTATTTTATTGAGTATATTTTTTTTTCGATACTACAATGCATGTAACAAAACACTTTAGCAAATTCTCAATAAGAAAAGTAACAAGTTTTCACTTGAATATGTAGTAAATTCTTATTTAAATGACTTTGTTTTTGTGTATTTTTTTAAACATTAAATATATATATATTTCCATCAAATTAATATTTCTCATAGTTAAGTTATGATATGGAGTATAACTTTGATATCGCATATGCATACTTATGTAATTTTAAATTTTATTTTTATAGTTTTTAGCTGTATGTATGTATGTAATTAAATGTATCTGTAGTATGTATGAACGTATACAGTTTTTATAAAATAAACTTAAATATAAACTTTTAAATAATTTTATATATTTATGTATATTTTTGGTATTGATTATACCGTGCGACAAGAAATTTAATATTAAAAAAATAAAAACACACGGAAAAAATGAATTTAATCACCAAGAGAGGGCCCAAATATAGTTAAATTTGGGTTTTAGTTTTCACTATGACGTCAGGATTTGCTTACAAAGTAGTTTGAAATTTCGAAAAAAGAATTAGTTCAAAAAATTATTTTAAAAATTCAGTGCAATGTCCAATAACAATATGAATATCAAATAAAAGAAAAAATTCTCGGAATTAAAAAAATTCAATTTTTTGGTGCACAAGGGCGATTAGGTTCACTAACCTTTTTTAAATATTTTTTTTTTTTAACGCAAACTATACATACATATATTAGTTCTTAACATATATTTTTTTACAAAATTTAATTTCTTTTTAATTCTATAGATGTTTCCCTAATATTTAATATCCATATAGTATGCAACATTTCACTGAATTTTTTAAATAGCTTTTTCAAGTCAGAAGTCATATATATTTGTCGCCATGCAAACCTTACCACCAATTTTTAAAACTTTGTAAATTAATAAAGAAAAAATTAAATTTTTTTAAACATAGTTCACAACAAAGTCCGCAACAAAAATAATATAATAACCAGTAATTTTTAAGCAAAAAACAAAACCAACTTCAATTCTCATTTAAAAATTTAAGATTATCGTTAATTTCTTCATGATCCAAGGACCATCGGACTTAAATCGGTTAACGTGGTCCAAAGTTATGCGGTAACATACATACATAAAAAAAATATTCCGACGAATTGAAAATTAATAAAATTTTTAGCAAAATTTCAAACTTTTTAATAAACATTTTTAAGAAAATTTCGAGTATGTAGTTCAATAACCCATTTAATTTTAGTGCAATTTTGTGCAAGTTTGATGTAGCTCAAAATTCTTGATGATTTTTAACAATTTTTTAGCCGGCGGGTCTTGTGTAGTTTTTTTCCATGTAACGAATGCTTTTTATGTATGCATCTATATGGGAAAAATGCGTTGCGCATCGTATTGAAATATAGTGTCGAAAATCAACCAGAACTTTAAGCTACTTCACACTTCAAAATTAAGTGGGCTATTAAACCGCATACTGGAAATCTTCCAAAAAATTTTTTCAAGAGTTTGAAATTTTAAAATTTGTATTTATATAGTTTTTGTCGCGGTTTGAACTATTTTAAAAGAAAAAATTATTCTTTTTTATTTACAAAATTCTACCAAATTTAAAAAAAGGTGGTGGTAAGGTTTGCGTGGCCACGATTGTATATCTAATTTTAAGGCCTTAAAAAATCTTCAAGTCAGAGTGAAAAATATAGTTTTACTATATTTGGTCCCTAGTTTCGCGAGTACTTAGTTATTTAGAATTTTTTTGTGTGTAAAATTAATTAACTGTCGCACAGTGATATGTAGTTCTGAACCTTTTTTAATACAGTGGAGTTTGCCCGGCCCTTGGCGATGATTCTTGGTATAGAAGTAGTAAAGTGCGAATCGATGTTTGGAAATTTTTTTTTTTTTTAATATTTTTCGGACTTTCTTTTTTGGACCTTGAGAAACACTATGCGATCAAAGGAACGCAAAGACTGCAGACGACTTGTTCGTGCTGCCCATCGTTCGAGATAGAAACGAAGGCTGTGAATCCAAGAATAAGAGTTGATTGATTGGAAAGCTAAAAATTATAGATACTAATCAGATATAAGAGAGAAAACAAATACGAGAAAAAACTACGTATGAAATCAGTCTTGCAAACTTTGTAAAATAATTTAAAAAATTTATCAAACTTTAAAAAATTTTCATCAAAATTTCAAACTTTTTATTCAGAATTTTTAGAAAATTTTTGAGTATGCGGCTGTGTTGCACATTCAATTCTGTGTTCGTATGGAAAAGTAGCTTATGTCGAAAGGCTGGCTTTAGTATAAATCGGCATTCGCAGCATACGATTGCGAATGACTTACGGGCGCTAAGCCGTTAAACAACTTTAAGCAAATAAACGTGCAAGAAATAGTTCCGATTCTAGCAAGTCAATATTCTTTTTAAGTCTCGTCAAAAAATTCCTTGTCGTTTAAAAAATAAAGGGAATGCCGCATTATACTAAAGCCGGCCTTTCGACATAAGCTACTTTTCCATACGAACACAGAATTATAATAACGTTCAACTTTCAAGTAGCTAGAAATTAACGTTGATTTTTTAGAATTTTTTTCGAGGGTATTGCCCATTTTCTTCCATAAAACTTATGCACAAAATCAATTTTCGAAAATTCCAAAAAATCAACGCTAATTTTTAGCTATTTCAAACTATGTACATTAGACTGGTTTTCCGCCGGGACTACAAAATGTATTATATTTGAAGGCTTCCACCAAAATATTTCGGAAAACTATTTAGATTTGCGTGAACTGGGCTGACTTCGAAAATACCTTTTATAAACAAAAATAGTTTCTTGACAAAATAGTTTACGCTTAAAAAATTTACATAAAAATATTAATTTTTCTCTTTGAACGGGATCGTAATAATGAGATTTTTGATGCTGTTTTTTTTAACTTTTTCAAAGATTGGTTTAAGAAAAACCTGAATAACTGGGCCAACATTTTACCGATTTAGGTTTATGAGATACCATTGGAAAGGTATTTTCACACCCTTTTTATTTATTTAAAGAACTCATTTACGTCCCAATTTTCAATTTTTCAAATACCAACACTTCTTAATTCAGCTTGGAATGACGTTCGTTTATCTTACGTTTCTCTTTCATACTTTGAAGGAGCTTATTTGCAAAGAAATAAAAAGGGTGAGAAAATACATTTTCAATGATATCCCATAAACCTGAATCGGTAAAGTTTTGGCGGAGTTATTCAAATTTTTCTCAAACCAATCTTTGAAAAAATTTCAAAAATCTCGTTATTATGATTCCGTTGAATTTTTTTTAATACATATTTTTATGCGTAGTTTTTAAGCTTAAACCGTGATGCCACCAAAGGGGATTTTTTTTTTCAAAAAATATTTTAGAAAAACTATTTTTATTCATAAAAAACTAAATTTTTGCAGGGTATTTTTTAAAGTCGGTCCAGTTCACGTAAATCTTAATACTTTTCCGAAAAATTTTGGTGCAAGTCATCAAATATAATAGATTTTATAATTCCAGTGAAAAAACAGTGCCGTTTTTTTTTGTATGGGGAGTGATGCAGTCTAATGTACATATATATGTACATATATAGATTGGCGCTAACAAAATATCGTAGTTTTTGGCCGAGCTTCTCCTTGCATTTTATTATACAAAAATTGAATGCATTCTAAAATGCATACTCGAAAATTGCATAAAATTTCTGAATAAAAAGTTTGAAATTTTAATGAAAATATTTTAAAGATTGATTAATTTTTGTGAATTTTGTGTAAAGTTAGCAAGACTGATTTATTTAGTTTTTGTTATAGAATGAGCTATAGTTTAAACGTTACGTTAAATATTTTTTATGGAAAACCTTTTGAATATTGTGAAAAAAACTAAATTACGAATACTTTTGTGAGTGACTGTATGCATGTAGTAACAACGTAAAACAGTATTAAATTTAATTATGAAATAGAAATACACCAGCTCCTCTATTCACCGCACATCTAACATGAAAACCGAAAAAAAAAAAATCGCTAAGGACCGGGCAACAACTTCGACTGTACTTATCTTCATTTAATTGAAACTCCAATGCGTCCAACTTCAATTGTAAAGCATACGTTATGGATTTTAGTATAGTTGTTGTTGTTTCCGTAATAGTTTTAATGATTTTTTGTCTTTGTTCAGCCGCCAATTTTTTGCTTTCTCGCCTTGTTATCAGTTCTTTTTCCGCTTCATCCATTTCGGTATGCAATCATTAATGAAATCTCCAATTTGTCTGTAAATCATTAAAGAGAGTATCGGTAATACCAACCAGGCATCTTTGAAAAGATAAACATAGCAAGCGACCACAAACAAAATCAAATCAGTAGAGTAACTCAGCGCGGAGCGAACTTTTTCATGCGCCTCCTCTTCCAGCTGCTCGGCGCTTTTCGGCTCGTTATTGGCGACCATTGCCAATAACACCTCAGGTGGTGGTGGTAGTACACGCGCAGGCGTCGCTGACGTTGGCAGCGGTCGTCTGCCAAATGGACCGGGCGACTTGGATTGGCCTGTTGAGGTGCGCGTTCGTGAAAGCACACGTCTTCTTACTGGCGTTTGGGCTTCAGTGGGAACAATATCAAAGTCCAAATCTTGTTGTGATGCAGCGCTTGAAGGCGGACGGTTGAGGGAGGCATCTCGCGAGCGTGATGCCACTCGCTTCTTAATGATGCGCTTTACTTTTACGATACGCGTACGACCGCGCGAATCTGGACGCTCGTACGTGGTTTCGCTGATTACTTCTGAGGTTGAGTTGTCATCGTTTATCAGCAGTTCTGGGGAAATTGTTGTGGGTGCTGGCGAAGAAGTGGAATTCATTTTGTTATTAGTCTTGGTAGGCTTGAAGTTCTCCTTCACGGGCGGTGGCATGCTGAACGCTTGTGAGCTGTCCTCACTTGGCGTCGGTGTATCTGGCACCGCTGTCTTGGGTTGGTCTGTATACGCCATGCCGCTTCCGCTCTCACGTACATGCACCAGCTGACCGCGTTCGGATATTGAGAGTCGCGGCTTATTGCTAATGGGTGGCATAAGCCCACCTTCCGGACTCTGTGAACGGCGTGCGCGTGCGTTTTCTTCTTCTTCTTCGATATTCATGTTGGCGCCTGCCTTTTTCAGTTGCTCCTTATCCAGATAGATGGGTGTGTGGTATTTGCGTGTGCTGCTAATCTGACTCACAATATCGCTGTAGTGATCAACAACGGCGAAAGCTTCCTCTCGCATTATACGATCCGCTTCCTGACGTTTTGCATCCTCTTCTTCTTTGGCCTTGCGCTTTGCTTCCAATTCCGCTGCGACGACTGTGGGACTCAAAGGAATGGACTTACCTGTAAGACCGACGACATTCGCGTTTTCTTCAGTATTTTTCTCAGTATTCGTACGATTATCCCGCTTAAAGAAAGACATGAAGCTTTCTGCAAAACCAGTTTTCTCGTGGCTGCTGGCAGTGTTATTGGCGGTTTGGCTTTTGTTGCTGTCGTCGCCTATGTTCTCTAAATTTTCCAAACTCTTTTTGTCTACGTTATCATTGCTGTTGTTGTTGTTGTTGTTGTTCTTACTGTTGTTACTGTTGCTACTAACAACCTGTTCGGCAAGTGGTTGTACATTCTCATTCGATGGTCGCTTCAAAATAGGCTTCGGCACAAAGTCGGGATCGGAGGGCGGCGCTGGTCGCGTGAGTACGACCGCTGCATTTTCCGGCATCGGTGCGCGATAAGGCGTGAAAACACCAGCAGACATATTACGCGGATGATAGGTTTCCATGTGATCCCTAGGCGGACTGCCTTTTGGTGGACTTGGTGTTTTTGTGCGCGCTCTCAGCTCCATTTTAAATCTCTCAATTGAATCATCTTTCGAGCTAGCTGTGCTTTCGGTGTAGTCAGACTCGAGTTCAAAGCTCGCTTGTTTTGTAGGTTCTGCTCTCTGTTGATAGCCGCTGGCTAGGTTACCGTCTAACATATCCTCATAGTCATCAACATCGAAATCTTCCTCGTCATCCTGTGTATCACGGCTTTCGTCCTTGTTAAGCAGCATACCAGTCGTGCGCGAAAGTGACTTCGTTGCCGATATGTTTTCACGTGAACCCCAACGCGCTGTGGTGAATTTAAAGTCTTGTACGAAGCTTTCTGATTGACGGCGCAGCTCACTTCGTCGCTCGAAAGACAGCCGTTCCGCTTCGGTCATCGAACCAAGACGTTTTCGAACAAAAGGTGCCTGTAAGCTGCCGCTGGTAATTGGTTTCTCCAAGTCTATTTCTCTGCCCTTATCAATTTCATACTCTTTTTGCTTGAGTTTATCTTTTTCTTGTAAGCATCTTAATTTGCGCGCCTTTTCAGCTTCCTCCAGCTCAACAGCTTCGTAGAAGCGTGCCATGGCGCGTTCATATAACAGTTCCGTAGAGCTAACGGAACGACGAAGCGGGAAGGTATGTAGATTTGTAAATTCCAGTGATGCAAGATCGGGCGAAGATATGGAAATTGGTGGTGGTTGCAGTGCGTCTTCTAGATCCAATTCAAAGGAGTCTTGCTCTGTTTCTCAAACAAATAATACTGTATTTAGAAAGGGTACATAAAAATATACATAATAGCAGTAAACTTACTATTTTTATCCTTAACTTTGCTATTTTTATCGAAGACGACCAGCATAAATTCATTACTCGTGTGCACGTCATCCTGTTTCTCAGCAAGAGACAGGGGACTGGCTGGTGATGATGCTGAGATGGGATTCTTTGCGGGGGCCGGTGCGGTTATTTGTATGGTTGGGTTCGTAAGCGTTGAAACGTTTTGAGATTTCTGTTCATTGTTGTTATGATTTCTTTTCTGGGAAGCGCCATTGTTTCCGTTCACCTTAGCTACCCATTCCTTCCACTCCGCCTGCTTATCACGTTCCGTTTGCTCGACACGATTTGCCTGCTCAGCCTGTTTAAATTGGTCGATTTGCTCCGTTAGATTTGCTGAATTTTTTCTTCGCTCCATTCGTTCACTTTTTTCAGCCCTTTCATATCTTATAAGCTCCTCTTGACGCTCCTGATAATTGTTTCGCTCGGCTCTTTCATCAATTTCCTTGCGAACTTTCCTGCTTAGTAGGGGAGACGTTTCTTTCTCCATGTCCATTGTTCCCATTGCTCCCGTAGCTATGGCGACCGCTAAAGAAGGAGCATTTTTTGCTGGACTTAAACTGTGCCCGGAGTGACGTCGCACCAGTTGATTTACGCCTAGTTGCACTGGCTCAGCACTACGTTGTAGAGCGGGGGTTCTATTTATTTGTTCGGGAGGTGTCAGACTCTTGCGAGGTGGGCTAAGGCTACGCTTGCGTCGTAATGATGAACGTGATATTTCTGGAGTGGATGGTTTTTCGGGTGTAAGTTCTGGTTCTGGTGTTGCCAAAGTTGGTGTAATCTTTTGTTTCGATGGTGATGGTGATTTATCCTTGGATGGAAGCAATTGTTGCAAAAAGTGGGGCATAGTTTTCTTTTCTGTCAGCGGAGAACGCTGTGGTGATTTGAGAGTTGGCGACGTTGGTGACGGTGTGGGCGTAGGCTTGGTGTCCAATGTCAATAGGTTCGTGTGCGGTGGGTCTGGTGTTGAAGGTTTTGACGTTTTGTTATTTGACGGACTACGCCGTACGTCCAACTTTAGAACTTTATCGGGCGTGCCGTAAGACATTTCCCGATGCAGATCTTCGGTATCCAGCAACTGCGGTCTTGGTTTTCGCAGCGCTCCAGGTGATATTTCCGTCGCTGCATCTACGTGCGGCCGTTGTGGTGAAAGTGCTTTACGGCGTGGTGGTGCAGCTTTGCTTTTTTCTTCGGTTAGCTTGGTTTCTGATTTAGGTTTCGTAATGCCACGCTTTGGATCAGGTATAAAAAGAATTTCCGACTCCTCACTAGGGTCGCTCACACCGTAAGGGTTTTCAGCTTTTACACGAAACTTATATTCGGAACCTTCGATTAAGTCATGCAAAGTTGTGCTGAGGGACCTGGTTGTGGCCGCTTTGAGCCAAACATTCCAACCAACACGAAAATATTCAACTATATAATAGCCGATTTTACAACCACCATCGTCCAGCGGGGATGTCCATGACAATGTCGCCGACTTGCCAAACGACATATTCAGGCGCACTTTGCCAGGTGGATTTGGACGCGCAGTGACTGTGACTAGAAACGAGGTCACATCTTCGCCCAACTGATTCCACGCGCGAACACTATATTCACCGCGGTCATCACGTTGTATGCTATCAATTTTAAGCAGCGAGTTGCGGTCGGTGCTTGACATTTCAAAGCGTCCACCATTGGGTACTAACTCGCCCTCATGCAGCCATGTTACCGCCGGTGGTGGTTGGCCCGCAATACCAACCTTCAATCGCAACACCTCACCTGCCTCCACTATCAAGCCATCCTCGTATGTGCGTGGTAAACGGATTTTAGGCGGTGCTTGCACCATTAGTTGGCACTTGGTGGCCACATGGCCAGCTCGATTTGTCGCCGTGCATTTGATTTCACCCTCATCGGTTAGCGCCACCTGGTGAATAATCAAGACACTGACGTCGTTGTCGTTTAAAATTTTCGTTCGTCGACTACTGAATATCTCGTAGCCGTCTTTGAACCAATTGATTTCAGGTGGTGGCTGACCAACTATACGCACACGGAATTCAATACGTTCATCTTCGACGGCCTGACGATCTTGTAGTTCTTCAATAAAACTCGGTACACATATGGCGGTGCGTTGAAGCGTAACGGTAAGTGCATCAGACATATCACTAGGGTCGGAGCGACCTACTATGTTCTCGGCGAACACACGGAACTGGTAACGCCAACCAGGCTCTAAGCCACTTATTGACACCTCACATTGTAGTACTGATGTGGGTGTGGCACGAACCCAGTGTGGAGAACCCATACGACGATGCTCAACTACGTAACCAGTTATGGGAGAACCGCCATCGAGTTTTGGCCGTTCCCAACGCAGATTCACGACATCTGGTTGTTGTTCCGAAAGTGGTATTAGCACAGGTCGTCCCGGCGGCGACGGTCGCTCTAAAATAAAAAGATTAACATTTAATTTAGCAAAATTTGTTTCATTTTTGTCATAAGCTATATGTATATTACTAATTTATTTAATTACAGAGATCGACACAAAGCTATTGGTATCACTTTTTATTTGACTAAGTTATTTGGCGAAAGCCAATAGAAGCCTTTCGCCAGACTGATTGATGAAAGCCGAAAGCTTCATACATATAACAATGTGAAGATATCTTCAATTTCAACGAAATGCAATGCCGATATTCTTTGAAATTTAAATTAATTTTTTTTCCCTCTGCAAAGCAAAACTTTCAGCCTTGGACCGTAAGTTATAGACAAAAAGAAGCAGGTTTATACACTAAAATCACATTTAAAAATAATTAACACTTTAACTTTGTTGTAGTCGATGAAGTGTAAGAATTCCCTCAATTATAATTAAGTTATTCTTTGTTAAGATCATGTATGCCTTAGGGCGTTTTAAATGATTTTAGTAGCTTCACTCGTATCCACAGAAGGGAAATTAGCCGACAAAAGTGGTTATGCTGCTTTCCTTTATCGAAACATTTCAAGACGGAAGATGGACATAGACATGCTTTCCTATAGTAGGCTCAGAGCATCTCAGCTCTGGTTAAAATACATCTATCCTGGTGCCTTTTTCGTTCAATGAGCCATCAGAGTTTATCTGATAAGTTTCGGACAAAGTACTACCTGGCATTACGTAAAAAATCTTCGCAATTTGGGATATACGTCACTGTTGGCAGTTATACCTTTGAAGCAGTGAAGGACTTTATCTACCTAGGATACAGCATAAACGCCATCAGCCTGCAAATCAATCGAAGAATAACAATTGGAAAGCAAATTCCTCACTCGATGAACAAAAAATATGGTCTTAAGTCTGTCAACAAGCGCGATCTTTTACATGGCGAAGTATCGATGTCGAACAAAGAAGAAAAGGCTTTTAGGGTTTTCGAGAGAACTATTATCGTAGTATACGGAATAACACACTTTAAATACAACGATTGTGCTGGCTTATCGATGTTGTATGCTTGGATAACGACGCTCCAGTGAAAGCAAGGGCATCCACGACCAAAATGGATGTTATCACGGGTCATACTAGATGCCATGTAAATCAATTCTGGAGGAAACTCGTATGTATATCTTTGAGGCAGGGCGATGCTTGCGTGTTCTCCAATCTGAATAAACGCACCTGCTAGCGTATGCAGATGATATCGACATCATTGGACTCAACATTAGGGTCACCAGCGCAGCATTTTGAAGCTTAGAGAAGAAGACAAAAAAGGTTGGTCTAGCAGGAAAACGTACCTCCTGACAGTAAACGTCTGGAATTTATAACTTAGCAGCAAGCGGTGTTGTTGTAGCAGCAGTGCTCATTTCCCAAGGCTCTCGTCGGGTGTTATCACCTTCGTCCTTTGACTTGGCCAGATGTAGATCATGCGCCATTACCCGGAACGCAGCTGTTCTAGTGCGCATCTGGTCTCGGCAGTTCTTCTTCCTCGATATTAATGGGGGATGGTCCACCAACTAGCACGAAATTGTTTTTATGGGTTATTAGACTACAGTAGTAGTAGTTAGACTGACAGCGCAGCTGTGTTTTTTACCGCCTCTTTGAACGAATGAGGTACGTACGGTTCAATGATGTCCATTCTCCTAGAGTGAAAGTGTTATCAAACGTGTGGCAAGCGGGTAATTTCAAGGCAGAGCGTTTTGTTCCCACTGATTCGAAAACTTTAGGTTGCCTTCTTTTACCGCCAGCATCTGGATTTTATCGCCGAGGTATGGCTAGAGCGCCGTTATGTATATTACCTGTCACTCTTTCCTCTCGGCCTCACCGGCGCTGTGTAGCTTGCCACCGACCTGCTGAAAGCCTTGTACGTTGTTAGCATTGTCGCTGTGTTAGCATGCTTCCCTGGTGCTGCCGCTGGGGGCTTGAGGACTTTATTGCTGACAACAAATTTGTTATGCGCTGTAGAGGAGAAAAGGCTATCGAACCTTGCTCCCAGGATCTTGGGGTGGATCACTTTAGGTATTTTTGCGCCCTAGAAGAAGCGTCGAGTTCTAGCCTAAGCTCCCTGCTCCAATGTGGCGGTGGAGTGAAGAAATCTAATAGATAGGAGCCACAACTTTTACCATGAGCTGCTACTTTGGACTACACGATGTCCGTAGATGATGAGGAACAAAGACGAACAGGCTTCGAAGGCTTTGTAGTGCAGATGATGCTGGCTACATTTCTTGCGAATAACTGGCTTAACTCAAATGCGATTATGGTGCCTTACATGAAAATGAAGTTAATGCGAAATTCGAAAAATTAAGAAAAAACTCTGCCTAAAATATCGAAAATAGGTTTATCAGCTTTACATTCTAGGATACTTTTCATCTCCTTAGAAAGTCAGGCTACCCTAGTACTGAACTCTGCGTATTTATAAATTTTTCAAAAAGTTCTTATCCTTCAAAAAACTCAAAATTAGATACTATTTTGTTGAAATACATACATACTTAAGTAAATATGTATAAGTAAATATAAAAAAGAAAATGCCACGCTGCAGTTTTCCCAGCGCTTTTTGCTTTGATACATCATTACTTTTGATTTCAACTTGTACCTTTATGTCTTATTGCATCGCCATGCCTCTCGTTGCCTTTCAAAAAAATGAAAAATAGTGCAACTTGTTATACACTCATAGTTAGTGCAAACTGACGTTACTTTGTGGCGCTCTCTCACGTAAAAAAATTTTTATGAAAATTATGTATGTATGTTGTATGTATGTATGTAGGATATTTATCAAACAATTCAATTCCCTTATTTTCGAAAACGTTTTTGTGGCACTTTCATGCATATATGTATGTACGCTTCAATATTGTAGTGCTCGTGCATAGGCCGATAAAGAGCGCCACAAAGCAATAAAACGCGTTCATAAACAACCAACAACGATGTCAGAATATTTATACATAACAGGCCGACGACGAAAAGAGGAATTGGCCAAGAAAGCAGGCTGACAGGCAAGCGACCAACCACTTGAGAATGAAATTTCTAAAAATAACCTCAATTCTAGCGCTCCCACCGTTTGACCCAAGACAATCTGACTGCTGTGCGCATATAGTATGCTTCTATGTAATATGTGCTGTTGTATGTTGTGAAGAATTTTTTTTTTTTTTTTTTAATTTTATGGAATTAAGTAGTCGACAATTACTATATAAAATTTCTCTCACCTGCCGATTTCCATGTTACAACCTTCTTTGGTCTTCCGCTGTGATTTTGATTTTGTAATTTGCCTGGTTGATTTCCCATTTTTTTGTACAAATTTCTAAGCCAGCAACGCACTCAAAAGACTAAATTTCATTATTTCATGTAGGTACACTGATTTATTTTCGCAACGTATGACGAAAACTTACGGAAATGGCCAACACATCAGTACTAATTTTGTTGCAACACCAACAACTATAGCCCCGACACCAATAACTATGCGTTTGATAGCGATTTCAGCCACATCGATTGGCTCGAAAATCGAAACAAACTCGAAAATTCTGCAGTTATCTTAATCGAAAACTCAACACAGCTTAGTACCACAACAGTTTTTACCGATTTTTTTAAGTTAAAAAAAAATTAATATTAGAATATATTATGGACTAAGAGCACACAGTCCATTTTCAGCGTTAAATAATCCCGTCGAGCGTACACCGCGTACATAATTTGCAGTAGTATCTGCTGTCTGGGATAAGCTCCGAGTAGAAATGTATGAGAATTTTCAAATACGACGACGACAAATTTTCAAAGTAATTTTTTCCATCCTCTTTTGTTCAACACGATCGTTACACGAAAATTCACACGATCGTCTAGTGGGGGAAAAATTCATTGTATGTATGTATGTATGCATGTATGTGCGTAGTCGCTCTCTCACTGTAGCAGCTTCACATCTCATTTGCTTAGACAAACTCATTTCTAATGTTAATACGCTCTTCTGTTCGGCCGCAAAGCTATTTTCAGCTGGGTGTGCACCCACATTGGGGTGATTTGTGGATGCGGCGTTGGGTGGGTGTTTGATGTCGATACGTAGTACCTATTCACCATAGAAAATGCAATAAAAATGCGTGTGTAGTAAAAGACACAGATAAATGACGAGCAAAACAGAAAATTTGTAAAGAGATTGGTAAGGTTTTTTTTTTGGGGGGAAACGAAAATGCTTCGCATGCCGCTGCGGTGAGCAAGAGATTGGAGAGCGCTAAGATACGAGAGAAAAGCAGCTGCATGGATGAAGTGTGAAGGGTAACCTTTGAAATTTTTAATGAATGGAAAGCAAAGTCTTAGGTAGGAGTACATACGTAGTATAGTAGAAGATGATAGAGATGTACAGTATTTGTAAGATGCGCCAAACGGTGCTCATTATCATTATTTTTCTTGTACCCAGGGTTCAACACAGTGGTGGTCACCAAGCCGCTGCGGGGTCGGAAACCGCCGGCGATCAGAAAATTGGCAAAGACTTGAAGACGAATTGTTTTCATAGCACATTACTTGTAAATGTCCGGCCCTGGTTCGATAGAAACTAGTTTTATATCTACATATAGTCGAAACCCTTATGTACGCAATAAAGAGTTCACCTTTCAATCTCCTTTCATAACTTATTAGGTAAGTCAAATGGCATTAAGGACTGTCCCTTGCTCATCAGGGGTGCGTCTGTTTTGGAAAAAACGGTTTATCGACTCTTAAAAAAAAAGAAATTTGGAAGAGACAAAAACCCTCGGAGAGTTATAATTACATACTCCACACAATGTCGATGCCTGCCGCAAATGAAACAAGGTCTACGTTGTATTACTGTGCACCTGGAATATCCGGATTCCATACGGCAGGTATCTCTATCCATAAGTACGAAACACAAAATCGAGTTCCAGCCTTTTTGGACGTTCGTTTGGATCACTACTTTGTAACATCCAAGATCCGAATTAACCTTAAAATAATATAGAAAATGCGTCAGAGAAAACGGAGCGCCGAGAAATTTCTCAATCGACTCTCAGTCTTGCGTAAACAAGCAACACTGCGATTCTATCGAATTATCTCTTCGTACTACCACCCACGCAGAGCCACCTGGTGTGACGAATGGCCCCGTCAGAATGGATAATTTGCGTACGTTCCGCTCAAGTATGAAACTGAAAGTTGAGTAGACTGTATGTGTTTGCATACAGAGCGTCAGATAGCCAACCTTTGCGTCGACTGACCCAACGAACGTTCGCCAACTCTCAACTTTTGACACACATAAGACCGGCACTGCTGACAGTGGTATAACCTTGCGTTTACACAAGACAAAGCAATTGAGAATATGTATTACGTGTCACATTGTTTGAGTAAAGTAGCCGTCCAGACAATAAACTGTCTTCGAAAAGCCAAGGAGAGTGGCGAAGATAATGGGTCTCATGCATAAACAGTGAGCTTCATCTCCGACTCGATTTTTAGTACAAATTCTTGAGCTTTAACTTACTTGAGCAATGCGAAAATTGAGTCTGAGCTTAAGCTCACTTTTTATGCATAAGGCCCAATGAGAGAAGTGTGGATATATTAGAAAAAAGTGTAAATGTATTACTAATGTATCATCAGCAAAATTGACTTGTGTAAACCCCAAGTACGTGGGCATAGGGAACAGCTGATTTTTGTTTGCAAACCGAACACCTTCATTGCGGCATATTTTTACGTTACGTACGCCACTTCCTTCGCATACTTTTCTGGTATTGACGTACAAGTACCCATTCTGATGGTATATGAACCAGTGTGGCCATGCGGAATTTTCTAGCTGGAATTCCGTTTTTATTTCGGTTTAGCCGCAAAAATATCTGTTTAGCTTCTAGCTTTTTCTCTTCTGTGCAGGCACCTACCCCAAACTGAGGCTTTCCTAACACTTAAGTGTTTTCCGGGCAGAGGTAGCTGCAGTTAATTTTTTGATCTTCGTACGTCGGCAAGGGAGGTAAATATCTACTCTGATAGCCATGTATCAGTCAGGGTCCAGGTGCCTGACCTCTTCTTCAGTTGCCTCTAATGTTTTTCTAATAAGATTTATTGTATGTATATCGTCGGCTGAGTGGAAGATCGCTCTATCTTGGCTGCCGGTTCAAAAACACCCTATCTCAGCAAATGGTTGAAGAATGCCCTATCTCAGAATTTGGTTCAAAAACACTGTACAACATATCGGCAGCTGAGATACAGCATTTTTGAACCATTTGCTGAGTTAGGATGTTCTTCAACCAAATTTTGAAATATGGCGTTTTCAACCGTTTGCAGAGATAGGGCGATCTTTCACTCAGCCGTCGATATTCAGTAGGTATTTTCGATGTAATAGTGATATTGCAGATAGTGTCTTTGTGGTTCAGTTGACGAAGAGAGATGACCTCGAGTTAGTCTTACCGAGAATAGAAAGTGTGCCATTTGTACATATGTATTCACGCGGTGGGACTTAAAACCTCACTGGGAGATGCTGGGAGTAAGGAACACACAAAATAAGCAGAATTCAAAATGTATAATTGCTGTAGAGACTACAATGAAAATGTGGTAGTAGACACTGAGCACACGTGAGATATAGAGGGTACACTTCTAACCACTTTAGAGAAGCATTGTGGCACTAAGTAAGGGAATGGCCTGACTGAGTTTTAAAGATCGTAATTTATTTCAATAATAGGAACTATTTGATATTTTCCGACAACAATACAAATGCAAATACACACGAAATTGACAATCTAAGATGCAGTGCTATAAAAAAACCCGCAAGTTCATCAAAAATATTCAATACTCTTACGTTTAAATTCACATCTGCGCCACAGGTAGGTGTAAATTATTGATTACCAAAATTAAACCCTATATTCGCTTGCCGCAGCCACCTCTGAAATTATGCTAATTTATGTATCTATCAATTCTAAATAAATAAAATATCTTTGCATGCGTACGTACGCATACATATGTATGTATGTACGGTGGCGAGAATGTAAATAGAGAAAAGATATTTTGGCAAGTTTTGGCTATTTTTCTTCGTTCAAAAAGTGTAAGATTTTACGAAAATACATAAAGCTATCTAAAAAAACAATGTAAATCGAAATTTCAAACTTTGTAGAACATTTATGAAAATTCGACGAATTTTAACAAATGTTGACAAAAATTTTAAACTTTCTAATAAAATCTTTTAGACTTTTGAGTATGCAATTTTGTAGCCCATCAAATTTTTGGGTATAGTAAAGTGCAAGTTTGAAGTAGCTAGCTCACGCTGATTTTTGACAATTTTTGGCGCATTTTCTTCCATACAAAGAATGTTTGACCATTGTTTTGTATAAAGAAAATGACCATCAACTTCGACAGAAAAATCGCCAAAACTCAACGAAGTCCTAGCTTCTTAAAATTTGCACTTTCTTTTGCTGAGATTTTACTAAATCTTATTAAAAAACACAAAACTTTTATGAAACTTGTCGAATTTTGAAAATTTTTGTACAAAGTTTGAAATTTCGACTTACAAAGTTTTTTTAGTTAACGAGCTACACGTTCATACAAAAATATGAAACATTAATTAATCGAAAGAGAAATAGCCAAAAAAGGCTAAAGTGTCTCTTCTTTATTTATATTTTCGCCACTGTATATATTCCAATCTCACTAAGTAAACTTTGGAGTGCTGGTGCGCCATGGCGGCTTTTGTGTCGCGGTTCCATATGAACATGTGTATCCCCACACGTACCCATATTGGTATGTATGTATGTAAGTATGTAAAATAAAAATAACAAAGCGAAAAGCAATGCCAATGAAAAAGAAAAGCTGCTGCTGAAGATTAAAACAGGAGGCTGGAAGAGTGTGGCTATTGAAAAATCAAAAAAAAAAGCGAAAAAGAAACTGAACAATGTTGTTGATTTGGGTCAGACCAAGGGCATCTTCTTGTCTGCCCGACCGCTAAGTGCAGACGAATGAGTGGCTCTTGAATGGGAGCCAAGTTGGGAGCAACAAGTGCAAGCACGAATATGTCTGGTCGCAGCTTTCTTGTTGAGCTACTGTCCATCTGTAGCTTGGGCGTTCGGGCGATTGCCATTGTGCTGTAAAATCGCTTGGAGCGCAGTGAAATCGATTCTGGTTTTATTGTAGTTGTAGTTTATTTCTGTGTGTTTGCTTTACTTGTACGAAAGCCAAAAAAGTAGGTTTTACTGTTTTGTTTATTTATTAAACCCCGGACTGGTATATTTTCTTTATTTATTTTAACTGTTTTACCATCTCTTAGCGTTTGTTTGATTTATTTATAGAAAGTGGGAGTGGCGCGTTAATTCATACGGACAGTCTGTTAAGTAGCAGGTGCTTCGTAA